AGATGTCGGAATGCTGTTCTGAGGTTTGCTAGGCGCCCATATGCTGCAGCAGTTATTTGGTTGATGTGCGCTTCAGAAGATGTGCCTGGTGTTATACTTACCCAAAGATCTTTTTCCTTGAGCGAGGTTTGTAGTCTCTGGCCGCTAGACTGTACTCCGTATTCGGTCTTCTTTGCCCTTCCACAATCTTCATGACTTTCAACTTGGTGGGGTTGAACTCCAGGAATCAGTTGCTGGACCAGGTCTGCAGCCTGTCCAGATCCTTTTGTAGTTCTGCCTGGTCTTCGATCGAATGAATTCTTCTCATCAACTTCACGTCATCTGCAAACAGGGACACTTCTGAGTCTATTCCTTCCGTCATGTCGTTCACAAATACCAGTAATAGCACTGGTCCTAGGACTGACCCCTGTGGGACCCCGCTGGTCACAGGTGCCCATTCTAACACCTCACCATGTACCATGACTCGCTGCTGTCTTCCTGACAAGTATTCCCTGATCCATTGTAGTGCCTTCCCTGTTATCCCTGCTTGGCCCTCCAGTTTTTGCACTAATCTCTTGTGTGGAACTGTGTCAAACGCCTTCTTGCAACCCAAGAAAATGCAATCCACCCACCCATCCCTCTCTCTTGTCTTACTGCCCCCACCATGTCATAGAACTCCAGTAGGTTTGTGACACAGGATTTCCCATCCCTGAAACCATGTTGGCTGCTGATGAGATCATTCCTTTCTAGGTGTTCCACCACTCTTCTCCTGGTAACCTTCTCCATGCCTTTGCATACTATACATGTCAGTGACACTCGTCTATAGTTTAGTGCTTCATGTCTGTCTCCTTTTTTAAAGATTGGGACTACATTTACTGTCTTCCATGCCTCAGGCAATCTCCCTGTTTGGATAGATGTATTTATTATTGTTATTAGGGGTACACACAGTGCCTCTGCTCCCTCTCTCAGGACCCATGGAGAGATGTTATCTGGTCCCATTGACTGTGAGGTATCTAGCTCACTCAGAAGCCTCTTCACTTCTTCCTCGGTTGTGTGTACTGTGTCCAGCACTTGGTAGTGTGCCCCACCTCTCCGTCTTTCTGGAGCCCCTTCTGTCTCCTCTGTGAACACTTCTTTGAATCTCTTGTTGAGTTCCTCACATACTTCACTGTCATTTCTCGTTGTCTCTCCTCCTTCCTTCCTTAGCTTGATTACCTTGTCCTTGACTGTTGTTTTCCACCTGATGTGGCTGTATAACAGCTTCGGGTTAGATTTGGCTTTCGCTGCTATGTCGTTTACATATTGTCGTTGGGCCTCCCTTCTTATCTGTGCATATTCATTTCGTGCTCTACGACTGCTCTCCTTATTCTCCTGGGTCCTTTGCCTTCTATATTTCTTCCATTCCCTAGCACACTTGATTTTAGCCTCCCTGCACCTTTGGGTGAACCATGGGCTCATCCTGGCTTTTTCATTATTCCTGTTACCTTTGGGTGCAAACCTCCCCTCAGCCTCCTTGCACATTGTTGCTACATATTCCATCATCTTATTAACTGGCTTCCCTGACAGTTATCTGTCCCACTGAACCCCGTTCAGGAAGTTCCTCATTCCCGTGTAGTCCCCTTTCTTGTAGTTTGGCTTCAATTGTCCTGGCCTTCCTGATTCCCCCTCCACTTGTAGCTCTATTGTGTATTCGAAGCTTAAAACCACATGATTGCTGGCCCCAAGGGGTCTTTCATATGTGATGTTCTCAATATCTGCACTACTCAAGGTGAATACTAGGTCCAGTCTTGCTGGTTCATCCTCTCCTCTCTCTCTCTCTAGTAGTGTCCTGTACGTGTTGGTACATGAAGTTTTCCAGTACCACCTCCATCATCTTAGCCCTCCATGTATCTTGGCCCCCATATGGCTCCAAGTTCTCCAAATCGATCTCCTTGTGGTTAAAGTCACCCATGATCAGGAGCTTTGCCCTGCATGCATGAGCTCTTCTGGCCACTGCAGCCATTGTGTCGACCATCGCTCTTTTGCTCTCATCATACTCTTGCCTTGGCCTCCTGCTGTTCTGTGGTGGGTTATACATCACTGCAATTACCACCTTGGGACCTCCAGAGTGAAGTGTTGCCACTATGTAATTGCTTGTTTCCACTGTCTCCTCTCTCCAGCTCATCAAAATTCCATTGGTTTTTGATCAGCAGTGCCATTCCTCCTCCCTCCCTGTTCCCTCTGTCTTTCCTTAGAATCTGGTATCCCATTGGAAAGATGGCATCTGTTATCATACATGTAAGCTTGGTTTCTGTGAGAGCTATGATGTCCAGTGATGCCTCTTTGACTCTTTCGTGCCACTCCTCCCACTTATTTGTTATTCCATCAGCGTTTGTGTACCATACGTTCAGTTTTCTTTCTAACACTGTGGTTTGGGGGGCCTGTGAGGGTGGGAGACCTGGTAGCATACTGTGGGATTCTATAGCTGGGTGTTGGGTGGAAGCTGTGAGTATGGATTGCAGTTTGTGTTGGGATGGTGTGA